TGCAACAAACTTCATTGTACCATTTTGCCCAGCTGAACCATTATGCAAATCTTGGTGAAGAATCTCCCCATCACAGAGGTCAGTCACTTCACCATCCTTAACCAGGTTATTAGTAGTGAATAACAAATTATCCTCTTTCGCACAGTTAACTGTCTCCCTAGAAATAGAAGGGTCATCAACAGATGTACTGGGGAGGTCCTTCTTTGTGTCTCTTAACTTCTCATCTATCTTCTCTCCATCAAGAGCTTGTTGTTGAGTGCCAAAATCATCTTCGGTGAAACTTTGTGAAAGGCGTGGACCTCGGCGCTTGTGATTGATTATGTAGGGCGATGGAGGAAATGACGAAGGAGAATCTGGAAATGAAGGAGAATCTGGAAGTGGTGTTGGCTTGGGAATTGTGTATAGTGCAGGAGATATTTGAGTCCAGTGGTCTTTTCTATCTCCTATTATCGAGGGCTTACCATTGGTATCATCCATCTTTACATTAGTCTGGATGATTTTCCTTTCTAGATTTAAACTAGAACCATTCTTGTTTCTATCAAAACTTGAACTAGGAACGTTGATCCGCCTCTCAAACTTTGATTCATGAATGCTTTTGGAAGTTGTCGTGGTTTTCGAGCCCCCTGATTCTATTAATCTACCCATAGCTATTGCTGTATATGTCGGCATGGCTTACTATACCAACAACACCTATAAAAAATAACAGTTTACACATTGCACAACAACCAATTAATTCGTTTTCCGTTACAAATACATAAAAGACATCCTAGCAAATAATCTGATCCTTGAGATAAAAGAATAGCAGCATAAAAAAGGGAAAAACTAAGGGAAATTGAAGTTGTTTCAAACTCTGATATTAAAGTACCAAGCAGATAAATTCCATGGAATCGCAAAGGCAAGTTGACAAAATCTAGAAATGTTGGTATTTATTAATACAATGTTCGAATTCTTAAGTCCAGAATCATGATTGCATGTTAATACACCTTGTTAAATTAGGTCTTGAGCCTAACTCACACCGCAAAAACTAGTTCTCTCTCTGTATTGTTCAAAGAGATTGAAAATTGTTTTTGGGGTGTGAATTAGGCCTAAGACCTAATTTAACATGGTATCATAGCAGGATCCATTTCATCCAATGTTGGGGCCTCCAAAATCAAAATTGTCCACGCACCAGATTCTAAGCTCTAACATGAGATGGGGTATTAAAGAATGACAAAAAGCCTCACATTGGTGGTTAATAAAATATGTGGACTCATTATAAGGCTCGGACAATCCTCCTCACTTTGACCTAGCTTTTGGGTTGAGAGTTAGGCTTAAGACGTAATTTAATACACCTAAATTCTACTTATCACCTATCAACTTTTAAATCCATTCATCCACACCTAGAAAGAAGAATCAATATGAACGAAAAAAGCATAAAGTTGAAATGATAATTATAGGTCCAAAATGATGAAATTAAATGTGTGAAAAGCTTCAACAAATACAAATGAAAACAACAGAGAAATACGATTCAATAGGGATGAGGGAGTTACCTGAAGATGGGAAAGAAACCCTAAGGGAAAGGAAGGGGAGTCAGACGGTAGGGGGAGAGATGCAGAAATTGAGAATCGCGATTGTCAAAGGTCATGATGTTTGATTAAAGGTAGAAGATTCAGTGTGGAACAAGTTACCATTGATGCAGAGGACTTGTTCTCTTTCTCTCCCCTAACTCAGACCCTGGCCTTTCGGAGAAGGCAAAGAGCCTGTTCCCTAGAGGCAAGGTACCCTCACGGTCATGGAATGCTTCTTTCTTCCTTCTTTCTCTGTCTGTTTGTTAAGTAAGTAGCGTCTTTTCCTTTCCCTGCGTGACTCTCTTCTATCAATTACACCTTCCTTATTTCTCTCTATCTTTCTCCTCCCCTCACACAATCAAAGGCCGAAATGCAAACACAACCTCCCTCCCACTTTTATTATTATTATATTATTATTCTATAAGATTCTTTTATTTTGTCCTACCATCAAGAGGTCACGTCACTTCCCTTTCTTTTCTTTTTAATTCATAGTTAACACGCGTGACAAAAATTTCTATTTAGTAAGTAATGCTACAATTAGATTACATTTTCTTAATTGAAAGACTTATAAGTTGTGTCGTTTGGCTAAATTGACCAAGTTCGTTGATTTACAAAACTTTATTGTGACAACGATTGGAACACTTTTTCATTGGGAGTTCCCTTTAATTTATTCTAAACTATAATATAAAAGGAGAAAATTCATGTGAAGGCCAAAATGATTTTTTTTTTTTTTAATTGATGTGTTGGAAAGTTGAAGGGGAAGCTATAAGGACCATATATTCCACCTAAATTGAAGGAATTTCTGCCAAGTGTCATCTCAAGGACTTTTTTATTTCCGTAGTCAACCGAAGGGCTAGAAAGCTCCAAAAAATTATTTGCCCACGTAGGACCGTTAGCCGAAAAAAGCATAGCAAAGGGCACCTGCAGCTGCAAGGAGTGAACCGGCAGTTATAATTGGCGGCTCTACCTATTTCTTTTCTCAAGTTCGCATAGTTCTGACATTTTTAATCTTCAATATCATGTGTCATGACATTACTAGAAGTTTTCAAAAGGGGTAAAAAAAAGAAAAAGAAAATACATTCACATAATAAAAAAAAAAAAAAAAAAAAAAAAAAAAAACTTAGTGAATACAAAGTCTAATAATTTTGGACCACGTGTAGATCTCTATTATTCTTCCCCTCATAAATAAATATTGACTAATAATTTACATTAATAAACAAGTTCCATATTTCTAGAATGCTCATTTCCTAACCGCTTCTCTAAGACGGCTTTCTTTAATTCGTGCACTGTTTAGAAGTAGGAAAGGGCATCGTTTATTTTTTAATTAGGGGTATGGTAGGGGTAGTAAGAGAGGAAATTAGAAGGTGGAGAATTGTAAGTTATTAATAAAGTGAAAGTTCAGATAATCCATTAACTTAGTAAGATCAAAGTAATCAAGTGTCATGCGAAATCTGGAAAATTAAATTTTGAAATATCATGAAAACAAAAGATAGATATGTTAAAAAAGATACAAACATTTAATGTAGTTCAGTCAATTAATCTAATACACAAAAGGAAATGAACATCCACAAAATAGTCTTAAAGATTTTGAGAGTTCAATTTAGGAAAGAATTTGTAAGATACTTGTATCATCTCTTTTTATTCTAAGTGAATCTTGTGAAGAGCTATTATGGAACGGAGAGAGTAATGAAATTAAGAATATGATCCACAAAAGGAACTGAATATCCACAATGAATCATTGGAGTCATGAATTAACTTTTAATGATTGTTAACATTTCGCTCCAATGTCTTCGACAGTTGCCTGATTCAAAGATTTAACTTTTATATGTATGTGCTCAAATATTATATTGTACGTAATTATTTTATTGTACCGCCCATGCCACTTACTCGTGTTCTAGAAACACAAATAAATAGCCTGACGTACTGGTGTGGTACTCAGATCTCCATTTTTCCCATTTGTTCATAAAGAAATATGGTATTGATCACAAAATGTTATGTACTCTTGAGTTTGATTCTCACGCAATCTTTGACCAGAAGGGTTATAACCTTATAATGAAACTTTTTGAGGCAAACTCAATTTATTCGAATATTTGAAGTAGATACAAGATATTGAATTTGAAATAAAAATTTAAAAAGTACACATGTTGTGTATTCAACATATACATATATATACTTTCACTTAATAAGTGAGTAAGGATTCTTTCCGTTTCTTTTTATTTATTACTCCTTTTTTTAAGAGTCAAACAATATAGCTTTTGATTAACATACATATTTTTATCATATTAATAGAAAAAAAAACACATTTAAAAGGAACGGATGGGCGGATGGAGTTATTAACTGATGCTCGTGATGGCCACATGATACCGCTGCTCCAAGTTGACTTTCTCAGTGTTTCTTTTTTTGTCTTGAAAAAGTTTGAACCATATTTCTCGTAGGCCATACTAAACTTTTCTGTATCGTTTCATTTCTTAGCTCTTTATTTTGTGCGTACGCTTTGTATAGAGGAGTAGGATTTAAGAGGGCGGTGGATCAAAGTTAAAGGAAATCAAAAGTTTTTTTTTGCTCGTAATTAATAAATTATGAAGGAAAATGAATATTACTCATATCTCACAATTTATATACGTAATCAAATTCATTACTCTTCATCGGTTCATCCCATGTTCTCTTCACCAGGCAAAACCAGCAAACTCCGGATTTGGTGTATTATTATTGTCAGCATTAATTGTTGTTCATCTCATTCCTAAGATACTTAGAACAAAACTTTGAAGAACTTGGTAAGAAATATAAAAGTTTAAAGAGTATTTTTAAACTAGAAAATTAAATCTAGTAGAGAAAATAGAACAAAAAACAGATTAGAAACAATATAAAAATATTTTTCTCAAAGAAAAAAAATCGAGCCCACTAAATGCACAGTGTCCCCTTAAGGAAATTATTCCCCTCAAGTATCCGAGGTTAATGGAATATATCCTCCCAAGATAGAACGATCTTACTCACACGTGTATCGGTACCTAAAAATCACGGTGTCAGCGAACCACTCAATGGCAGTAAAAGTACACTTAGAATACTAGATTTAATAGTAGTAGAAGAAGTCCAGAAAAATTCGTTTTTAAAATGAGAGGAAATCCCTCAATTTATAGAAAACAAAGGGTAGTATGAAAAAGTTCTTATTGTGTTTTACCGGAAAGGTCACAGACCTTTGGAAAAGTCACAATCTTTCGAAAAGGTCATAGCCTTTTATAAAAGTCACAATTTTTCATAAAAGTCACAATTTTCCGTAAAAGTCACAACTTTTCATAAAAACCGCAATTTTTCATTTTTCATTCACACCTTTTAAAACTCAAACAATAATTTCCTGTTAAAATTGTCAACAACGTAACTTGAACCCAAAGTCCAAATTAAAAATTGTGCACTGACATTTTGCAAAAACAGTTTCTGGCCTTTGCATTCACACAGTTTATCCGAATCTCTCGAAAAGATACTAATTAAGAGAAAGAAAGAATTCAAGGATCTTCTTAATCTGTAACAACAATTTAATGATAACTTGACAAGAGTATATATCATCATGATCATTTATATCAACTCCAAATTTTAAGGATCTCTAAAATCACATGATGATATGAATTATTATTATTTATTAAATGTTATCGACGAGATCTTCTGTACCAGAAAATAAAAAAATCAAGCTGTCTCATCATAATTACCGAATTTGTTTGAATCAATTCACCGCCGTGGTGAAGTTGGAGGAACTGAAGAAGTCTGCAAAACATCACCAAAACCTCCCTCTCTAACATACTGAATGTATCTCGAGAATTCGGGCCTAGCAGTTGCCTTCTTCTTCTTCTTCGTTTCGAATAGACTGAATATCGGGTGAATTTTGCTCGCTTTTTTGGCTTCCTTATTCACTTGAGGACTCATCGGAAAATTCTGCTCCGGCGTCATCACCTTTCTGGATGGACTAAAAAATTTAGCTGCTGGAACGCTTCTGTTTCTGTTCAATTTTGGTTCTACTAGTGGAACTGATGGTGCCTCCTCTTTAATCAATTCATCATATCCGCTATAATCTCTTCGTGTGCTCAGTGCTCTAAACATGGCTAAGCTAAATTAATTAACTTTTACAAAAAGAAACTCTCAGATCTATTGAACTGGGCGTAATTAATATGATGGAAGAAAGATGAAAAAATTAAGAGAAGAAAAATTGGTCCTATTGAGAAATGTTAATGTAACAATGAAGTACTTAAATAGTTTTTGTTTAGTTGGCTGGAAAGTGGACTTATTTAATTGGTTATTAGTTGAGGTATTCTGACATTAATACGATATGTGGCCTTATTTTTCAAAATTTGCGTACGCCTTATGAACTGCGAAGGTTGAAATTTCGTTTTCATGGCGAAGCTAACAGCTAACTGCCTGACTTTTCCAGTAACAAAATCAACTAATTTAATGGAAGTGGGACCACATGAAGAAAATAAAAGGCCATAGAGTTAGCTTGTACTATGCATTCTTCATTTATCTCTGATTTAATGTTCGATATATGTTATAGAGTTACGACAAATTTAATTTTAACCTTCTGTAAGATCAGAAAGAAAAATTTTCTAATAATTTTTTTTTTAATTCAAAGCTCAAAATGAAAATCAAAACCTTTTAGAATATTTTTTTTATTCATCTTTATCACAATTTCTATTAGTATCGCGCATGCTAAGGAAGATGTTGCTACTTGACACCACATGCATCTATATCTAATGAAGGGTCAACTAATGCTTGGATATATTAAGGTCTGGGGCTATTTATTTTTAGTTTTTTACTGTTAAAAAAGAAAATTGGGTATGATAAATTGACTAGCCGAAAAGCAGACATGTTTGAATGAGTACGCCCTTTCCAGTGAAAACATGAAATTGAAAAGTGGATAAATTAATAGTGTAATTGATTAGCCAATAACCGACATGTTTGAATGAGTATTTCCCTTTTAGAAAAAGCAGGAAACTGGATTAGTAGTTTGTTCCTTTCAACTCTATTTTAAGTAAATATTACTAATGTATTTCCTTTAGTTTTAAATTAGAGACATTTTCTTCCTTCTAACCAAGCAATACATTATTCAAATGATGATTATACCTTCTTCCAAATTATGGTTTTTAATTCATTCAAAGACTAAACAGAGGTCTAATTTTAATATTTTTCGTTAATTTTTTTTATTTATGTTAAGAAATTCACTTAATAATTTATTGAGAACCCATAAAAACTCAAAATTCTGAATCTATTTATAACTTGAACAGTTAGAGAAGTTATTCGGAAGAAATAAGATAAAACAAGTTTGCATTATGACGTATATTTACACACTTCATTACAGTTGAATATCATGCTCATCAGCTCCAAATTGTTAAGTTCCGTAAGACCATATATAGTAAACCAATTTATAAAATAAAAAATTCTGTACCACAAAATCCAAATTAACTTACGCATAACATATTTTAAATCACTAATTAACTGCGGCCAAGTTGGTTTTGTAGGAATTAAGTAGTCGTCTGCAAAACATCACCAAAACCCCCCTCTCTAAGATACTGAATGTACCTCGAGAATTCAGGTCTTGCAGTTGCCTTCTTCTTCCTCTTCGTTTCGAATAGACTAAATATCGGATGAATCTTGCTTGCTTTTTTCGCTTCTTTTACCTGAGCACTTGCACGAAAATTGTCCTCGGATGTGACCTTCTTTGATGAAGAGCTAAAGAATTTAGCAGCAGCAGGAACTGTTCTGTTTCTGCTCAATTTTGGCTTTCCCAGTATTGGAGCACTTGCCTCCTCCTCATCTTCCTTGTTCAATACTCCGTATCCTCTGTAGTCCCTTCGTGTACTCATTGCTCTAAACATGGCTTAGATTTAATTATTTGGTGTATAAGTTACAAACACCCAAATTTCTTGAATTATAGGCTGCTTAAAATGAAGTAGGAAATTGAGAGATGAAGAAAACAAAACATATGTTATATAGGAGTTGTAGTTAGGTTGGGGCTTATTTAATTGTGGTCGCACTTTTCAAAAATTGCGTGTTCGCACGTGGTTCCTTAAAGGCTTTGAAAGTCTATTGCTGAAGAAACCCGGAACTTTCCTTGTTTCGACTTCTCTTCGTAAATGTTTATTATATGTAGTGCTACTCTGACCATAATATGTGGAAGAAAAAAACAAACAATTTAATAATAATAATAATAATAATTGAAGTGTGACCGTGGACCTTCCTAATTCTAACTAGGCATGCTATGAAAATGTATTTTTTAGTAGATGTTAAATATAATATTTTTAATTTTAGTTTCTGTATATTTCTTTTCATTGATTGAAAACAACTAATGGATAAACATTACTTTCTCCGTCCATTGGAATTTTGAGAATCAATTTAGTATCTCTTATATGCTTTTTAAATATTATAATTTGTTAATTATTGTAATTTATAATATTTTTAAATTAATTTTTAAAATTTATTTTAAAAACTTAAAATTTTTATGTTTGCATTCGGTATCAAAATTTAGAAGTCTAAATCTCAAAATTCAAGTGCGCCCTATAAATTAGGACGTATTTGATTAGTAAAAACCAACAAATTTGCATATGTTTGGACGAGTATTCTTCTCTAAAGCAAAAATATGGATAAGAAGTTTGTTGTCTTACATTATTAGATAACTGTCATTCGCCATAGGGCCATTTTGTTGGCGAATCAATCATTTGAGTATCATGAGTGTTTCTTTATTTTTTGATTGAATCATTGTAACACATTTATAATGAGACTAATCAAGCTTTAGATAATCCTTTTATATTCCAAAATCAAAACTTAAACCTTCCTTTATATATATACTAGATAATGTTGGCACGGGCCCAATAATATAAATAGTATGTTTTGGGGCTATTAACGGAGTTTTTGAAGCGATTATTTGCGTGGATAAAGGAATAAGTTTTTTTATCACAAACCTGTACTTTCTTTGATGCTATTTAAGGCATAATAAGACTACCCACATACAACATTTTTTAAATATTTTATGTTGTCAATTATCATGATTTATAGTATTTTTACGATAGATTCACTTCAAGAATCAGTGGAATGTTTTGTATTTTTTTCAAAACATATTTTATGTTGTCAATTATCATGATTTATAGTATTTTTACGATAGATTCACTTCAAGAATCAGTGGAATGTTTTGTATTTTTTTCAAAACATATTTTATGTTGTCAATTATCATGATTTATAGTATTTTTACGATAGATTCACTTCAAGAATCAGTGGAATGTTTTGTATTTTTTTCAAAACATATTTTATGTTGTCAATTATCATGATTTATAGTATTTTTACGATAGATTCACTTCAAGAATCAGTGGAATGTTTTGTATTTTTTTCAAAACATATTTTATGTTGTCAATTATCATGATTTATAGTATTTTTACGATAGATTCACTTCAAGAATCAGTGGAATGTTTTGTATTTTTTTCAAAACATATTTTATGTTGTCAATTATCATGATTTATAGTATTTTTACGATAGATTCACTTCAAGAATCAGTGGAATGTTTTGTATTTTTTTCAAAACATATTTTATGTTGTCAATTATCATGATTTATAGTATTTTTACGATAGATTCACTTCAAGAATCAG